AAATAAAAATAATATATTGAATAAAAGAAATAAATAATATAGAAGACATAGAAGATATATAAGATATAAATAATTTTTTAAAAATTATTATCTTCTTTTAAATCATTATCATTAATATCTTCTTTTGTGTAATATCACTCTCTTTTAAGATTTTGTATCTTTACAAAAATATTATCACTTTATCAATAAGTTGTTTAAATTATTTTTTTTTATTATTATTTTAAAATTCAAGTTCTATAATCTAACAATTTATAATATTTTTTTTAATTTTAATAATTTTTTTTAAATATTGTAATGAGAAAAAAATTTTGTTTTCAAAAATCAAATTTTTTATTTTATTTTATTTTTTTTTAATAAATTTTACAAAAAAATTTTGTAAAATGTATATCGTATTTACACATAATTTATCAGATGAGAGTATATTATATTTATGCTATTTACAATTGACTTTACAAATATAGATTTATTTTAATTTTAAATTTATTGATTTTTAGAATTATGAAATTCATAATTCTATATAAATACTTTGATTTTGAATGACTTTTTAATTGAATCACATGATAAATTATTTCTTTTAAATATAATTTATTTTTTTTGCATGCTAATTCAATTATTCAAAATCTAAATTTTTTTTAATTAAAATTTCTTTTCTTAATATTAAATTTCATCAAAAAATGCCTTTTAATAATCACTTAAAAAATGATCTTTAAAAGAAAATTAAACATATAAGAATTTTTCATTCTCAATAAAAAATAAAATTTATGACTAATTTGTAATTTTGCAAATTTAAAATAAAGAAAAAAGACTGCTAATAGCAGATAGGTTAGCATGTCTTATATCTAATACTTATATAGAATGATTTTAATAAAAGATAAATATGTTAGAATTTGAAAATTATTATCAAAAAGAAGTATTGTTAAAAAAGTGACTATTTTACAAAGATTTATAGAACGAATAGGTATTAACTTTACTTAAGTGGTTTATATAATAATTAGAAGGGTTATTTTTATTTGAGATATTTCTTTAAGTTTTTCTTTATAGATAATTTTTTAGATTAGACTGGTAACTATAGCTAAATAATATATTAGTTAACCATTTGTAAATAAAATATATATTAATTCGATAAAAAATTCAATATCACAACCATGGACACGTGATGAGCAGTAGCGAATTTTTATTAGTGATGTTGCAAAACTTTGTGATTCAATAGAAAAATATACTAAATATTTAGAAAATGTAAATTAACGAATGCGTTATATATATGCTAGTTTATTATCTGTACGCAATGGGATAGACAATATTAAAGTAGAAGATATTAAAGCCAGTCCAACTATTGCTTCTGAATATGAAGAATTTAATCATTTAATGCAAGAAACTGAACTTTATGTACCAGTTTGTCTAAATGAATTTATTCCTAA